TTTTATTTTAATACATTTAAGCTCTCACACAGCTCTCCCACCTTCTACTTACAACAGGGGTTGAGGAGGTTATCAAGCCATGCAGCTTGAAAGACGGAGAGGAAAAGACGAAAGTCTCTGCATGGGCCTGGCCTGAGGTAAAAGTGACACTCATCTGAGAGGTCAAATATTTCATACACAAAACATTTTAAAAACATAAATGCAAACAAACTATTTTATACACTGCTTGGCGACTACAGCTGACAATGCTTGATTAAATGTTTTGAATGAGCACATGACACTATTCAGGCATTATTCATTTAGTAGTCATGATGAAATGTTTGCTACTGGAAATAAACACATTTTGTATTATTGTTGGAATCTTATCAAACCATGATCTTATTTAAAACTGTTAACATTAAATGTAATTAAATACATGACCAGCACTTGAGCATTACTTAGCGTCTGTCAGTAGTGATCGCCTGCCTGATTTGACGAGGTTGTTCAAAATTTGATAGAGGTGGTCACCTCCCTTCTACATGTCTTTGCAGGAAAAACACAGTTATTGTAATAAGATGTGAGTGTTTCCAACAAAAACAAAAAATAGTGATAGCTATATGGCTTGGGCGGTATCCAAATTTTGATACCGTCAAACCGCCTCCATATTTTACCCCGGTATCCGGTATTACCGGCGTAATAAAAAAAAATTATGACGTAAGGCTCAGACAGCGTCACCAAACTGTTAGCTTGTGCCTAAACCATTCAGAAACTGAATACCTTATATGCGACCTTATGTTCGCGGTCACCTGTTTGTCTTGTTAGTATTCTTGCGCGGGACACTCCTCTCATTCGCATGCAGACACACACACACACACACACACACACACACACACAAAGAGAGAGAGAGCGCGCCAAGCGATGCACAGCACCGCTCTCGCTCTCGCTCTCTCTCTCTCTCTCTCTCTCTCTCTCTCTCTCTCTCTCTCTTTCTCTTTCTCTCTCAATTCAATTCAGTTCAATAATAATAATAATAATAATAATAATAATAATAAGTATTTATTCAGAAAATCATATCAATAATGATTTACAGCAGCGGGAATGCAGCGAGCTGTAATCGGGCCATAAAAATTAGGCATGATGAAGCCTGAGTCCGACAGGTACATTTTGATGAACAGCTTTATAAAGCCCGAACCCGTTTACAGCCTGACATTATACAAATGTGCTCATGCACACAGCTCTATTGCCTTTTTTTAAGAATGGGTCATTTATATGTTTTAACATAATTTATTTGTAACAAATGTAGACTATATGCCACTTGGAAGTTGGAACAAAAAAATAAAATAAGTCCTCTGTAACATCGTAACATCGCAACACTCTAAATAGGTCTAACTTAGGTATACATACCCTTAGCCATTAAATTGGCTAACACACCAATGAAAATAAATCTTGCTTAACAAATCAAATTAAAATAAACTATAAATGATGACGGGCATTTTGGCAATAACGAAATTAAGATAAAGGCTGTGCAAGATTTGTTTCGCCACTTTTCTTCACAATCTGGCATTAAGGTAAAGCTGAATTTAAAAATTTTTTTGCCAAGCCTGTATACTCTGTCTACATTATGATTATATGGTATAATTAATATTCATTTATAATTTAAAAACCCTTTACTCACCAAGATTAGGCTACATGTTTTTTTTTTTTTTTTGTGGAGGAACATTATTAAATCCACAGGCTTTCAGCAGAACTGAACACCCTTTCCTGCTGCTACAGGCCGAGATGCAGAGTTCTGATCTGGCTAATTTTGCAAGTTTTGGGTAGGATTATTTGTTCATCATCTGCCGGGAACATCCATTTTATTTGCCATAACAGTAGTTTTAATGTAGCAAGTCACCCCATCTTTGACACTGTCCGCTTGCGGTTTGCGCTCTACCGTAATACGCAGTGTATAAGCGACCGCCGAAATACCTTGGCGACTTGAATAACCGTTCCTTCTGAGCTAGTGACTGACTTGACCGCCGTCAAAATTAGCTTTTTTTTTACTTCTCCGTCATCATTTGCTTCACCTTTGCAGGGATGGATTTTAATGCAGTGATTTGGATTTTTTCTGGTCCCTCCGGGCTTGGGCAAAGATCTTCAGCTCTAATGCAGACCTCTAGTTTATATTTACCACAACTCCCATCTGTTCAGTCGAAACCGGAAATACTGCCAAACTGCAGGTCACTTTGCAGCGCGACTTGTCACCTCACCTCTCCCCCTCCCTCCCTCTCCCTCTCCCCTCCCTCCCTCTCCCTCTCCCTCTCCCTCCTCCACACTGTCCTGTGATGGCAATCACACATACGTTTTTGTGGGCATTAAATAAAGGATATTTAATATTTTATGACGGTATAACAGTATTGAAACTGACACCGTTGCTATTTTTAGATCCCGCGGTATACCATAATACCGTAATACCGCCCAAGCCAAGCTATATATATTTCACAGATACACGTTACAGGATTGATATGAATTCTTCTCTCCAACAAAGATGACACTAAATATAGTATTATTGTTTATACATATGACATATAAGAATAATTAATGCAATTGTCAACCTTGCCATAAAAAAAAAATTAAGTTTTCACCAAAAAAACGGAACCCGTTTTTTTTTTTTTTTTTTTTTGTCTAAGCAAGTATTTTACAGAACTTTAAAAATGCTCAAAAATGTCTCTGTCAGCTTTTTCAAACAATTATATTTGATTTACCAAAGTCACACAAGTGGCAATTTCACATCGGTCACATCCATAACGACACTTTTTCCTCATAAAGGCAAAAATATTACATAAAATAAAATCAATCATTTTTGTTTTATAGAGAGCCAACTCTTATCATTTTGATGATCCTTAATTCTTTTGGGTCGTGCAGTTTAATTTAAAGAATTTCTACAAAGTATTATCATTTAAAGTACAAAACATGTTTATAGAACGATAATTTTCTGATCCCATAACTCTGTGGTCAGTTGTTCTGGAAAATATAAACAGTTGAATACAGTGTTAAACAAATATTTTCTATGTGAATTTATGTTTTGAGTTTTTACTGCAAATGTCACATTTTCAGCTAAAATCTACTGTATATAATTAAGCTTAAAATTACTTTGTTTCATTTAGTTACTGGATATATAATAATTTTAGTCTTAGTTTTATGTTTTACTTCACACATATGTCACATGACTAAATGTAGGCCTAATAATGTTATTTTGAGGTTGTTCTGTTAGCAATTACAACATTTAATATAATTTTCTTTAATTAAATCAAAATTATTTGAGATTATCTAATCTTAAAATGACAGTGTTTTATTTAGTTCCTGGAAAATAATGTTTCAGAATCAGTTTGGTGTTGTATTTACAACTTTATTTCTTGTATTTATGTATATATTTGTGGTGAAAATACTGTTCCTTATTATTGAGAAGTGAAAGATTAAAGATTATAGCTTGTATCTGCCTGTCTGTCTATTATATATCTAGTTTAGATTGCTTGTCCAATATGGTGTTGAGATTTTGAATGTAAACAAGTGTTCCGGAATGCGCTGTCATAGAAACAGAAGAACGCAGCATTAAAAGTAGAAGAGAGTTCAGAATCTCCTCATTGCGTCTTCTCATTGCAGTTGGTAATAGTAGTGTTCCAAGTGAATTCTGTTATTATGGCATTGAAAAGAAAGCGTTGTTCTCAAGACACTCAAGTGTATGATTTCCATACTCGTACACCTCCAACATCCAGCGCCAATGTGGCTGAGAACCATTCACCTGTTGGTGTTGGTAAGGAGATTGAGATACAAGTGAGAAAGAAGAGGAGGTGGGAGAGTTTTGAAAAGCCGCTCTCCCTTTACGCTGAGGGTAAATCCAGTCACTGTTTGTCAATCTGACCATGCTTTGTGTTCACTAGATCTCTGTACATGTACATATAGGCCCAGACAGATTCTGTGGACATGTTTTGCTATTTCTGCTGAGAATTTTGTTTAAAAAGTCTGCAGATTTATGAGGAATAATTTTGAGAGTAAAGTAACTAAAAACTGAACACATACAATAAAAAATAATAATAATTTAACTTTTTTTAGGTTTATAACACAAATTTAAGTAGAACAAATTGTTTGGTAATCAAAGTTTCTCATAATTTATCCACTAAAAGAGAAAACTTTAACAACAAACTGTACTGTACAGAAATCATTTAAATAATTGCAGATTATTAATAATATCACTGAAATATAAAAATGGTATAAATATCAATATTCAATAGACTCAATAATGGGCATTAAATGTGTATGATTCCGATTTGTTGAAGGCAAATTATGAGCATTCACTATAAGAAACCCAATTCATGACTGTTTCTGATCTCTAAGATGAAGTGTGTCTTTACACTTTACATCAAAATACAAATCAATTTTATAAGCCATTATCATTATCATTAATGCATGTCTTACATCTCTAAATACAGATGACAACCAGTGGATGACTTTTCTCAGTGGCCAAAAGAGAAAACGAAGTTGTCACAGCTCTCATGTGAACGATTTCCATCCTCATACACCTCCAATATCCATCACCAGCCTTCAGTCCACTGATGTTGCTGAGGAAAGTGAGAGAAAGAGGAGAAGGACTGACAGTCCTGAAAAGCTGCTCTCCTGTAAAGTCCAGAAGTCCAGCAGCAGCTCTAGTCAGGAGGATCAGACTCCTGTTCAGATCCACAAGAAGAGTTCTGAAGGTGAATCTAGTGGTCATTTGAGAATGTGTGGCCTTCTCTCATGACCCTCTTCAGTATGAAGTAGAGTACATTACATTAAGTTCTGTAAATATAAGTATATATTTTTTAAAAGCACTCTAAAAGTTTCAATCACTGTTTGCTGTATTTTGAAGTGTCCACCATATCAGTATTGTGCAGGTTCATTTTCACGATGTATTGAGTTATTGAATATAGTCATATGTCTATTCCACCTCAAACATTACACACGTGTCTGTCAGTGCTTGACATTTCACATCAGCTGAAATTATTCATCTTTTAACAGGTGACATTCTGGACCGGTATGAACTCGGCAAGGAGATTGGAGAGGGAGGATTTGGCAGCGTCTATGAAGGGAAGCGCTTGGAGGATGGCCTTGAGGTGAACAATCCCTTTAACATATATTATGTTCACTTTTTAGTGCACTTGATGTGATTATAACAGAAGTGTTGTTTTGTTGAACAGGTGGCAGTAAAAATTGCCAGAAAGCCATCGAACATGAAATACATCAACATCGTAAGTAGACTTAAACATGTAAAGGCACTGACAACAGTATATTTGGGGAAGCAACACCGCCTAACTAATCTTTCTTCTAGGCTGGTCATCCTGAGCCCCTTCCTTTAGAGATCGGCCTGTTGATACTGGCTCATAGAGGCGGCAAGGTTCCAGAGATCATTGAGCTGCTGGACTGGCAGGACCAGCAGGATCGTTACATCATGATCCTGGAACGACCTTCACCATGTGTAGATCTGTTGGACTTAATAATGTCTCTTGGCTCCATCACTGAACGCCAGGCTCAAAAGATCATGGAGCAGGCAACAACGGCCGGTCTCATGTGCTGCAGACGTGGGGTATTTCACCGAGACATAAAGCTGGAGAACCTGCTGGTCAACACGGACACGCTGGAGGTCAAGCTAATTGACTTTGGCTGTGGGGCTCTTCTCCAGGAATCTGGCTATGACAGTTTCTGTGGTATGTATTAAACTTAACACCTGTAGTCTGGACTGTCAATTTGACCAATCATGTATTTTCATGTTACAGAGAAAACATGCTTTAGTGTTTCATGCTGAGACCAAATCTTGTTCCTTCAGGCACAAAGGAGTACTTCCCACCAGAGTACTACCTGGACGACGAATATCATGCAGAACCATCCACTGTATGGTCTTTAGGAGTTCTGTTATTCCTACTGCTGTGTCAACGATTTCCTGAAGTCACGGACACGCAGAGGATCGATGATGGAAACTGGACTGAGCCTGGATTGTCAGAAGGTAAGACGTCATTCATCACATCATAGACGAGCAGTTCATGGATTAAAACTAAGAGTTGGATATTGGATAATGGTGACAATGTTCTGATTCTAAAGTAGAGTAGAGTCAGATCTTATAGATGAATAAAATGACAGCAGATGTAAAGTTGAAGTTGATAATGTGTTTCTCTCACTTCTTCCCACCATCGTTCTGCACAGAATGCTGTGACTTGATTCAAGCTCTCCTGCAGGAAAACCCAAGCCAGCGGATTCCTCTGGAAGAAATCATTCTCCATCAATGGTTTAAGGTACTGAACTGTAGATCAGCTTCTAATGATTTGGAAAATAGATTCTCCTTTCATTTGAAAAATGTTTTTTTTTATTGTACATTTTATGGCTTTTGTTTATTGTGACGAATCTGAATCAATAACCTTGATTTGGTGTGTGTCTGAATGTTTCAGGTCAAGGAATAAGCAATAAGGAATGTAGTGCGAATGGATGGGAAAGATTATTTGCACTACTGAGCACCACAGTTCCTGACGCAAAAAAAGTACAGATTCAACAGTAGAGCTTAAAAAAGGACACAGCAGCAACAAAGAATCCCAGAAAAAAAGGTCACAGCAACAACAGAAGATCCAGAAAAAAAAGATCAGGCCTCAAGAAAAGATCCTGGAAAAGACACAAAAGATCCCGAGAAAAGGGCACAGCCCCAACAATGAAAACATTTGTAAATAAAAACATGAATAAAATATACTTTGTCGCACCAGTCCTGTTTTCATAAAAAATACATCAAATCAGCCACGATACTGAAAAAGCAGACAGCAGTGAATGAAACACTTAAACAAATTACTCGAACACTTAAGTACCAGGACAACTAAACACATACACACTCACACACACACTTATAAACTGATGTGACTGTAACTGAGCAAGGTTTTAGGAAATTGTGAACAAATTTAGTAATTACAGCACAATGTAGTAAAAAGTGGGTAGAGGACTGTGCAGACACTCTCTCACACACACACACACACATACACACACAGAGGCTTGAACATATCTCTTTAAGAAGATATATAAGTAATGATGTTTATACTGTACAGACTGTATTTTTTATTCTTCTACAATAACCTCGGGGTCATTTTCCTCTCGGGGACCAAAAAAAAAGTTCCTGTAAAATCAAGATCTACTGGTCTGACATTTCCTCATCTATAAGATTGAATAAAAACGTAAGTTCAGACAGTATCAGTCAGAGGCCACTAGAGGACAGACACTAGCCATTCTGCTGGAAAAGCAAAGAAAATTGGTTCATTCCAGAACAAGTGTTGAAACCGCATAAGGCCTAAATGACCTTTAACCTTTGATCGGTTTTCCCTCAAGACTCAGTTTTATTACTTGAATTTTTTAAAAAAATTAGGATTTTTTCCACACTGTTCTTAACCCTGGATTACCTAGTAAATTATAAGCAGTGTGAAAGAAAAAGCTAGATATACCCAGCGCTGAGAATGACCCAGAGTTGACCTTTCCGAGTTTTAAAATCCAAGACACAATTAACAGATGTAAGACTGTGTCGCGGGACCAACGGGATTCAACTAAAATAAAGTGGACAGAGTTTGTCGGTCATGCTGCTTACAATCTCAAAACATCAACAATCACACTCTTACGTAACATCATTAACTGTGTCATACATATAGGCGTTATAACCTGATTAACTTAAGAAATAAACAAAGAAAATTTCTGTGTGTGTGTGTGTATATATGCGTGCGTGTGTGTGTTGAGACATTCTGAACGATATCTCAATATCTCAAGCATTCAAACATCAGACAGCTTCTAGGCTTTTCGCACACTTAACCCTCTACCGCATGGTGTTGCCATATGGCAACATCATATTTGTGTTCATTCCCCTGTCACTGTTTCTTTAAGACCAACATTGAATTGTTTTAGTTGGAAAGAGAAGACCTTAGTGTGGCCAATGATGTGCTTTGGTTAAGTAACATGACATGGGGCCCTATCATACACCCGGCGCAATGTGGCGCAAGGCGCGGCGCAGTAGTCTTTTAGTAGTTTCAGCTTGGCGCAAGAGTCGATTTGAGGCGTTGTGCTACGCTGTTTAAATAGCAAATGCATTAGCACTTATATGTGTGCCCATAGGCGTTCTGGTCTAAAAAGGAAGGCGTTCTGAGGCGCACGGCTGGCGCGTTGCTATTTTGAGAAACTATAATAGATTTTTCATTAGACCAAAACAAACCCGGTCTAAACTCCGGCGCAGAGTTGCGCCTCGCTTACGCACTGCTTAATACGCACAAGAGAGCAATAGGCAAATATCTTTACATATGAAAAAAAATTAATACTAAGGATATATAGGATATAATAAGAATAGATATAGGATATAAATATAAAGGATTAAAATATTACAAAACATATTATTTTCTAGCCTACATAAATATGAAAAATCACTGCTTTTATGTCTTCTTCATCTCGGAAGGCTTTTTCAGTTCATTCTTAACAATTTGCTTTTGTATAATGTTATTATTATTAGCAGTATTATTTATTATATCCATATTTATATTTGTTTTATTTAAAAACAAGCTTAAATTTGCCCACCTGTCAGGTTTTAGACCATAAGGGGCACAGCATGTGTTTTAGGATATAACTCAGGTTTTTGAGCACATTTTGTTATTATTATTAATTTATTCACTTGCTGGAAATTAGAACTGAATTTAGAAATAGTTTTAAAACGAATATTTGCGCTTTACAAGCAAAATTATTTATTTATAGACTAATTGATGTCTGTGTGTAAAGGTTTCTCTATTTAAGAGCGAATGTGAAAGTAGATCCATTATCTTTCATTCTCACGCAGTAGATGCTCTGTTTAACAGTTTTCTGTTAAAAAACTGTTAACTGTTAACTTTTTTAAGTGTTTGCTAGTGAAATGCTCAGTTTTTCCACTTAGACTTACTTTGCGTCCTGTAAATAGCGAATGCGCTCTTGGCGAGACGCAGCTGGCTCTTAAAGGGAATGGGAGATGAGACTCTAATTGGTTTATTCTCAAAACACACCTATAACTCATTAAGAAAATAACTCAACCCTTTTAGACCATGCGTCACATCGCAAAGCAGATTTTCCCATCCTTAAATTAGCAAAAATGCGTTCTGACACACCCTGAAAGCATTTGCGCCCTGCGTTTTACGCTCTGCGCATGGACCGTCAAAATAGAGCCCATGCAGTGTTTTTCTGTGACGTGATTTCTGGCAGACTGGCGTTCATTGTGAGTAGTTGCTGAATGCAAACGTAAACGTCAAAAAAGACAAAGCATCAACTCATGTCAGATCAACAAAGAAATCTTTAACATCATCTCCAGTAAGTTACGATGACATATTCACTACTCATTTTTTTTTTTATCAATTAAGTTTTCTGTAAATCGTTTAAATGTATGTGTTTCCAAGTGCCAGCACTGTGGAATAGTGGAACGTGCAATATTGCAATGGGTTAGCTAGCTAGGTCAGCTGTGAACTTTTAAGTTGCAACAATAACAACATGAATGCTAGTAATGTATTGTTGATTAGGTGTATGTTAATGACATTTGCATTATGGATAAAATCTAGTTTTAATGGCAATACTACTTTTGAATAGATATGAGAATGATGCAGACTGGACATTTGGTAAGAGCAGTGATGGAGACAGTTCGAGTTAGTTAGCTCTGAGGCAGATAAGACAGGCGTAGTAAAGTATAGTGTAATTTATAAACATTGTTAGCTAGTAGCTACTTTATTCTGATGTATCTGGATATACTAAACTTGTTATTTATTTGTTATAATATTTACTGGAGAAACTATTTATCTTTACTGTATGTTATATACATGACAATAACATATTAGCTTTTTAGTAATATTAATCAAAAAAAAATTTAATAAATGAAAGCTATTGGAATATCAGCTGTTGGAAAGTATGTACTGTATAAGGTGTCATTTATAAGTTAAGCTCCTTACCCAAGGCTGAGTGTACTCTCAGCAGTCTTATTAAAACTGCTTTAAAATGGTAAAATATACATCCAAACTGGCAGCTTATGTACAAAGAAATTCACTTCAAAAGATAAAAAAGGCAAATAACTCAGGAAACAGTTGTTTCCAATTCTCCACTCAAAAGCTCTCCATGACCTCTGACCTGGCTGGTTAGATAAAATTCTTTGTAAGAAGTCTACATTGCTGTTATTTGCCAAGGCTTGAGATGAGACTAGAAAATTGAAGAATACTGAAGACGTCAATCAATGCTTGGAGTATGGATGGAAATTATACATCAAATATAAAGAAACAAGAGACAGATGGTAAGGGTGGATTCAAGAGAAAGTCAAAATAAGACAGGAAAATAAGACAAACAACATAAAAAGGTCTTTTAGTGGCGATACCTTCAATACTTCATTGACTGTTTCAAATGCCAGTAGCGGATCTGCTGGTGCTCTTTATAGTTAATTACAAACTTTGACATAGTTAATCAGTATGAGACAAAAATATTGAATAATACTCCAGTCTACACACTGGTCAAAAACTTCCAACTCATGTGTAATAGCAGCAAGAGCAGAGAGCTATTTTTTATATCATCACCTTGAAATTATAAGGTTGTATATGACATTTTTGTCAAAACTGAGTTATTCACATATTCTTATTAAATGACAACTTATCTACATTGTGGCATTTTATTTATAAATTCTCAACATTTTAAGGCTTTGTATTTAGAAAGCAAAAAAGGTTTATCTATAAAGTCGAACTCTAGCTTAACTCTATAAGGTTCTTTGTCTTCTTCTTCATTCTTTTATATCACATTTTACCTGTTTTTATGTTTTTTTTACTCATTTTATTATTTGTTTTTATTTTTATTTTACTTGTTTATTTTATTCTTGTTTATGTAAAACACTTTGAATTGCCACTTTGTATGAAATGTGCAATATAATCAAACTTGCCTTGCCTTGCCTTGAGCCAATCAGCATTTCCAATGCACGCACAAGAGCCAATCAGGATCAGCTATCTTTGCCATTTCGCCGGACTGCTCTGTTGACAATGTGAAAGACCAGAATGAAACACAATATTAGAGTCGACTAAATAATGCAGCACCACATAAAATTGAGCAGAAACCTGAAACTTAAAATGTGTGTAAATATGATGATTTAGAGGCGTTTTTGACAATGAGATGAAATGTTACACATTGTTGAAAAAGAGACAGTTATTAAAAAATGTAGTATTTTCTTTTCGGCTTTGTCCATTCATTAATCTGGGATTGCCACAGGCGCGCACCCTACTTAATGATAGATGCGCACATCTACTTTAGTGAACAGAACCTGCATAGGCTGTGGATAACAGGTAATAAAGTTGTTAATAATAATCAGTTTGTGGCACAGAGTGATAGTTTAGGAGCTGCGTGCAAAATATGAACAGCACTTAGCAGTGAAAATGAAACCGAAATCGTGCACATCATTGAATTATAACACATTTTAGAGTTATGATTGCGACAAGCATTTGATATGTTTTTTCTTTCATAGCGAACACACAGTTGTGCATGAAAATAAATGTTTACAGTGTCAGTATAACTACTCTAGTCTATATAATGTTGATTTTACCAGTGAATAAATGGTCTAATAATTTTGTCAATGACAGATTGCAAGCATAGGCCTATAGCTCAAACATAATTCAACATCAGAATTATTATAAGTAGAATAGAATTATTAATAGAAACCAGTAGACCTACACACCATAATGTTGTTTTACCATGTTTGATAAAAAACAATAATAATTGCAGACTCATATTAACCTTTATTTTACATCTACAGAGTCGTGAGAAAATCGTGAACTTTATTTTAAGCAAAAAATCGTGATTCTCATTTTAGCCAAAATCATGCAGCTCCAGTTCACAGTATGTTAAAAGGTAAACTGAATTATA